GGACATGCTTCATTTAATACAAAAAAGCCCCCTGGCTGATGCCAGGTCTCAGTAAGACACATGATATCAATATTCCGGTCCAATATATGGCTGTGTATAAGACAAGATTTATTTGTGAGAGACTGTGTGTTAAACAGTTCAATTTTGATGTTTGCTGGAGTGATGTGCTGTAAAGAACGAAGTAGACTGAAATCCACTCCACGTTTTATGTTCCGCTCCATATAGACGGGTCTTATCCAAGTAGTTTCCGTGGTTTCCTCAACGCTATTTACTCCAGGTAGAGGGGCGTTCTGATGACGTAGATGCCGTGCGACAGAGCGCTCGGCTGACCAGAGGGATGGAATCGAGTCGCCAGACTGGGAGAGAACAAACTTTCTACGGCAGCTTCTATGGATGTAGCGTGGTCGGCTTTGAAGTTTAAGTTGTTTAATGGCTGAGATATATGTTGGACTGCTGTTCTTCCTCAAGTCAAGCAGTTGTGGGATGGAATACTTTAGCCTCATGTCGCTTACAGTGTAGATCCGAAGATTGTCCAGCCGGCTAGCAAGTGGCTGATCACCAAGCCGGGGAGATGTTATGCTGATGTTGATGCTAGTGTCGGTAAGAGATATCAAGACCACAATGCAAGTGGACAATAGTAAAGAACTCTGATGCAGCGGCTCAGGTACAAGCCGATATTGTACGAAGAAGATTGCCAGCCACAATAGGTATGATACAAAAATCCATACATCCATAAATCCGTTCAGGAAAAGTAAAAAAGTTTGTAAAATGTGGATTCTAGAGCGCAAAAAGATCCACAAAGACGTTTTTCTTAAGGGAGAAGCGGCAACAGACAGTGCCAGCGTCCTCTCGCCTCAACTCTCAAAGCACAAGGTTTTTCACAAAGCACAAGATACGCTAGTGAAGCAGCTAGAAGCTAACGTTAAGGTTTTTTAATGTTAGGCTAACGTTACGTTAGATTTTAAAGATAGCGTTCAAATACGTTGTTGACTTAACTTAGAACAGATGTAGACATCCTTGTTTGATTTATCCACGTTTAATTGGTGTTGTTGTCTACCGCATAACTTAATCGCATAACTTAATCTTATCTCGGTTGAGATGTGGCTTGGGAAAGGGTAAAAATACACACCGTCGCCCAGCCTCTCGGGAACCTAGTGTCGGAGCTGCATGTACCCCATACACACCGTTTGACCATTTTAAACTTAAAATAAGAAAAAATGAATGAAAACTGACTAACTGCAATACATTTCAATGGACGTGGAAGCAGAGAATGTCTGAGTGTATTGGGTTAGCTGCACACTGTGATTGGCTCATCACGATTGGGGGCGTGGCTTAGCCATAGGTCAATTGCGCATCAACACGGACAACGACGCAGAAGTATAAATGAAAACCAACGAGTAGTCTATAGGTCCAACGCAGAAGTATAAATCAGCCTTAATTATTTCATCCTGACCCTCACAAGATAGCTCTCTGGGCTTGGCCAAACATGGATCACTTGCTGGGTGTGGGTGTGTGTGCATCATGAAGCTTTTATTAGGCTACCAATTTTGTGCTACTGAAACCACAACTTCCAGAGTTTCACTGACAAATGAGTCATGATCACACTTCATCTATATATACACAGCAAAAACTCCCGTGTTAAATTAACTCTTCTATGAATGTATTTTAGACCACACTCAAAAGTGTTACAATAAGGGAAAATGTCAAGGGTCGTGAGCCTGAACTAAACAACCGAGAGAAATATATGTCTACTACCTCAGATTTAACGTTTGATCTGAACATCAGTATCGTGGAATAACATAATCTTACTCACGGATGAGAAAGCCGTGCAAAAACCGTGAAGACTTCAATGTAAACACAGCTTTTGTCTCGAGTGTAACGTCATAACACACGTCTCTTATTCTTATTCTGTTTCCAATTAAACACCCTGGTGTTGTCCACTTTAGGGGTTTTATAGAGGCATATAAGAGCATAGGTGTCAACAGATATGAGATTTCCAGGAATCCATCCCCTATATAAGGGATTTTTTTACACCATTCTTACCTTAAAAACATTACATTACACATTTTAGTTTAAAGGAGAACTCAAGTCAATTTTAACATTGAGCTCATTTTTTTTTGGTAAATGTTGAGTGTTGTCAGTACAGAGAACAATGACAAAAATTGGTGTTGCCTACACTGTTATGCTCTTTTTAAAATGTGCAACTGCTTTTAGTCTCAGTGATTTTGGCCATCGGCATCCTCATGATCCATTATCCCACTAATCTAACGTTATTCTACACTACTTGAAGTTCAGACTTCCCGGCCGCTACTTTTTCCCTCTTCCTCCCGCCTGCCACTACAACAGTCTTCTTCTTCCTCTTTTTTAATAGTAGCCTAAGCTACTGTCTCTATACTGCCACCTGCTTTACCGGAGGTCTAGCAACCCAAGTGCAAGCCACTTCACAGACACAGGTAGTTGCGTGTTCTGAGTTAAAGGGTTAGTTCACCCAAAAATTAAGTCATTAATTACTCACCCCCATGCTGTACCAACCCCCTAAGACCTTCGTTCGTCTTCGGAACACAAATGAAGATATTTTTGATTAAATTTGAGAGCTGTATAACTACCACATTGGCTCCTAAGGGACTGGCTCTTGACGGCCCAGAAAGTCAATGAAGAAAACGTTTAAATATCCCAAGTGACTACCGTGGCTCAACTATAAGTTTATCAAGCGACGAGAATACTTTTTGTGCGAAAAAACAAACAAAAATAATGACTTTATTCGACCATTCCTTTTCTTCCTTGTTGGCCTGAAACGAGACTTCCTTAGATTTCCACGACGCATGCGCGAGAACTGAACTGAAGTAGTTGAAGGAGATCGCAATTCTCGCGCATGCGTCGTGGATATATTTTACGGGAAAATACTCGAACAGGAAGACAGCGGGAAAAGAGCTAAAATACGTGAGAAACACAGCAAAAACGGGAGGGTTGACAGCTATGGTCACAACCAAGACCGTTAGTTACCACTTTCAGTGTGTGTCTGTTCATACAGCATATCTGCAATACGGGAGTGGTCTATATCCCTTAGTGAGATACCGAACGGATGTAATAAAGAGAACGTTAGGTTAGCGTAACCTCGGTTCTCTGATAACAAACGTGATGTATCTCACCTCACCGCCCTCCTAACAAACTACACTGCGAAGAAGATATGTGTGGTCTTGGACTCGAGACCGTTTTTCTATGGTCTCGGACTCGCTGGTATTCGGACTCGGACTTGTCTCGGTCTCGGCCACTGGTCTTCCCAAATATGGCTTTTGGTCTCGACCGAGTCCAACATTTTTGAATGTGTGTTCATTTATTAGGCGAGCCTATCAGGGTAAGGTTAACTTAGAAAATGCCAAAATTAACCGACCAAGTGCTCACTACAACAGAGCGCGTCTTCTGTGTTACTATAGTTACTAGCTAACGTTACTTAAAAATCCTGGGTGTTGCGCCCAATTCTATTCATTCCCGCAGGTCTCCCATTTATAATGCGGGATATTCCCACAATCGTAATCCACACAGATTATACAATCAAATCATTCTTTTAATAACTATCTGCCAGACGCAATTTCACAAACATTGAGAGTGTTCGGCGGAGCCGCATCTTCTCTTCTCTCAAAAATGTGTTGTGGAAGGCGCTGCTGCGATAATACACACTCGCGTTCAGGAGTCGGGACATGACGCAATATTCACTTGCACAATCGGGCCAGCAGTGCACCGTGAATAAAGCTTACCATTTGCACGTCTTTTTAAGTCTTACTAGTTTAACATTCAAGCAACGTTAAACTGTCAGTCCTCGCGCACTCTCTGGGATGACTTTGCGCACATTCATATCTCACAACCAATTCGTACGAGTGATTCAAAAGTGGCTAATTCGTACCAATTCATACGACCTCACTCGTACGAATTCGTACGATTTGTCTAAACCCACGTGACGGTTATGTTTAGGGGCGGGGTCAGGGGTAGGTCATTCGTACAAATTCATACGAATTGGCTAATTCGTAAAATATGTACGATTTAGCAAAATCGTACTAATTTGTACGAGTGAGGTCGTACGAATTGTTACGAATTAGCCACCTCGTAAAATTCATACGAATTCCCGTGAGATCGGGTT